GGTATTTGCACAGAAATATGAGCTGTTGAAAGTAAATTTGTAATTAACTAATGGCAATTTTAGTGTTCAAGTAGTGCTCCAAATGTTATCTGTTGACAACAGTGTAAAATCACAACTGCCAGTTATTTAGTTGGTTTGGTTTCCATGCACATAAAGCTTCCCAAGAAACTAGGATGCTGTATTAGCATAATATATCTGCAGATACAAGTAATATTGCGTCTTGCAATTGACAGATGAAAATTTGCAGATTTTCTAAGTAAAAAGCAAGTTGAGAACATTTTGAAAAACGAGCTAAGATCTTCTAGGACTTTAAGATCCAAACAGATAGGCCTCTTGTTTATAACATGACTGATATAACTGATTTTGAAAAGAAGGTCTAGTTCATTGATGTTGCTATATTGGGTGATGCTAGGATTATGGAAAACCAATTGGAAAAAATTATGAAATACCAGGACTTGCAAATCAAAGTTGAAATGAAAAAACTTGTAATAATAATAGAGGTTATGGAGAAAAGGGCAAGGAAAATCAAGAATTGTTCAGCATTCAGTGAAGATGAAATGTATATTTCATTACCAAGCTGTTTAACAACATACCAAAAGGAAGTGAAATTGAAGATTGGTTGACATATGATAAAATTTACTTGATAATGAAAGATGCAGCAAAAGGGGCAGCACCAGGCAATTGCAGACCAATTAGCTGCTTACCAACAATTTTCAAATTGCTAATTAGTGTGGTGGGCTGATGCAGTCCAACAGCATCCAGTTGAAAACAAGCTCTTTCCACCTAAGGAGAAAGGAAATTGCACAAGCAGCAGAGGAACAAAAGATCAGTTTCCAGCAGACAAGATTATTTTGGAAAACTGCAAGAGAAGGAAGACCAACTTGAATGTATAGATAGTGCTTAACTTAATGGGCAGCTTAATAGCCACAATGTTCACTTAACAACTGCCACAAAAAGATTGTAAAATTGGATATGATCATGTAATGATCTGCTTAGTGACTATCACGAGTTATGACTATAATTGTGGGCTAAATTACAATCATAAATTGAGAACTATCTTAGTTTGGATTGATTACAAGAAGGCATTTGACTCGCTGCCATATGATTGGATAATCAGGTGCCCAGAAATAACAAGTCAGTAGAAACTTTGAAAGCTTTATGCAAAGTTTAATGGCAGAATGGAAGATACAGTTGCTGATCAATGCTGATAGATGAAACAGGTTAATGTCAAAAGAGGAGACTCGCTGTCACTCTTACAATTTGTCAGTGCACTGATTAATCTGTGTACAATACTGAACAAGTCAGGCCATGGCTATAAAATAGGCCATGGCTATAAAATGTCAATCCTCTGTTAAGTAGCAGAGGATCTAGACATGAGTTTATAGACAATGGAGTGAGGTATAGAATGAAGATGTGTTTGCTTGTGTTTTACAAGATAGTGATAAGTTGCTAATGTTGAATATACATACTTGGGATGAAGGAGGAAATTTCTTAATACTGCAATGGAGATTAGACTGGACAAATATACCACCCTTACCATCAACAGGGGAAAAATACTGAAAACTGAAGTAATCCAGATGTCCTATGGAAATAACATTAAGACTATAAATGAAGATGGTCACTACAAATACCTGGGTATCTTTCAAATTAATAACATCAAGCATACTGAAGTCAAGAAGAGGATTAGTATAAATATCTCAGAAGAATGAAGAAAATCTTTAAATCTAACCTCACTGGTGGAATACCATCAAGGCAATTAACAGCTGGGCACCTCCAGTCATTAGATACATATCTGGAATAGTAGATGGGGCTTGAACTTAAGTTAAAAACCCTGAATAGGCAGACCAGAAAAATATTGATAATTAATCATGTCCTTCACCTACACAGTGATACTGACAGATTCTAATTACCGAGGAGATAGGTGTCCTTGAAGAAAGGGTATTGGAAGAATATCTGAAGGACAGTGAAGAAAATGCACTGAACCATAATGGCGTACTGTATGCTAAAAAGATGATACTGCCCTATAAGAAAGAGAAAATGAATAGTACAAAAGATATATGGCATGGTATAAAAAAACTAGCAGGGAAAGCAGATAACGATAATGGTTGAGAGCCAGCAATGGCTAAGAGCAGCAAAATTGAAGAAGACAGGGAGGCTAATCCTGGATGCACAAGACCAAACCATAAGAATAAAATATATACAAGGTCAGAATTGAGAAGACAATAAATGCCACCTCTGCTAAGAAGCAGAACAAACATAGTTGCTGTAAGATCACACAGACCAAACAGAAACAATGGCACGACAAAGTACTATGTTTCCCCTAAAATAAAACCTGGTCTTATTTTTATTTTTTGCCTCCAAAAGAGGCACAAGGTCTTATTTTTGGGGGATGTCTTTTTCATTCACCTCGTGGCAGTGGCACCGAGAGCCCCGCCCAGCCAGCCCACTTCTTCTGAGACCAAAGGAGCAACTTCATCCTCCAGCTATCAAGATTGAATCCATAGCTCGGTTCTTGGCTGCAGAGGCCTCCCGGAAAGGCCTCTGACTGTGAAATGCAGGCCAGGGATGCTGCAGAAGAAGTGGGCCAGTAAGGAGAGGCAGGTGCGGATTCATGGGAGGCCTAGTAAGTGGGTGCAGGGCACATGGGGCAGATCCATCCCCAACCTAACTTGATTTTTAGGCGTGCACCTTGCCCCAAAACTTGGGATTATTTTGGGAGCATATTAGGCCCACTCCCAAAAATCAAGCTAGGGCTTATTTTTGGGAAAACACTGTAGCAACAATGGTACAGTGGAATATCTGTAAGAAATATTTATTTATTTATTCATACATACATACATACATTTATATGCCTCTAATCTTGCTATCCAAAGTGATATTTGCCTGCTAGCAAGAACTGGTGGGACTACAAAATAAATAAAGTAAAAAAAATGAAAAAACTAAAGTGCGCTGGGATTTTAGAAATCAGACATGCAAGCATCTGCCAGAGACTTTTTTTTTTATAAGAAAGATGAAAAAGACTAGAAAGTGGACATTGGAATATCCGGAGACAGCAGAATAGGATAGCAGAAGTGTGGGGGGGGGGGAGGAAACCAAAATAGAAAGACGTGCAAAGGGAAGTAGGATGACTGTGGCAAAAGAAAACAAAGATAGTATCAATAGTAATAGGCACCTTTGGTGCAATTCCAAAACACCCAGAGCATCACTTGAATACCATCAGGATTGACAAATCACCATCAGTCAATTGCATTTTTACTTGGAACAGCTTATATCCTGTGATAATATCTTTAATACTATTAAACAACAATATTTGTCTATCCAGGGTTCTTGAGAAGGACTTAAAAATGGACAGAAATACCCAATCTAAATTGTTGAGTGATTGTGCAACCAAGCATAATAATAATAATAATAATAATAATAATAATAATAATAATAATAATAATAATGATAACCTTGTATAGTCATATGGTTCCTTGAGGATCAGTTTTGGCCACTTTGGGCTACCATAGTGGTAAAAGCACTGCAATGCTATATACTCCATGACAAAAGAGTGTAGGAAATATTTCTCTTTTCTACACAAGTCAGGATGATCCAGGAGAAAAGGAGCCTTTACATTCCCCAGCATCCCAACCACAATAGGTGAAAACCACAGATGCAGAATTCCACTCCTATACTTTCAAGTGCCATCAACATTGTATTAGTTTTGTATTTTGATTCCGTTTTTAAAAAATAACTATCAACAGCTGGAATTTGATTTTATAATTTAAGGCCATGAAATTTAATGAACCTTTACCTTATTCATTGCCTTTTCTATTTGAAAAGCCAATCTTGCTTTGTCAGGTGAAAGGGTATTGCTTAAGTTTTATTTTGATTGGTACTATCTTAATAGATCCACCTCTCTGAGATCTAAGTATCAAATTGGCTTATTTATTAACATAGTTATCCATTCTCTCTCTCTCTCTCTCTCTCTCTCTCTCTCTCTCTCTCTCTCTCTCTCTCTCTCACACACACACACACACACACACACACACACACACACACACACACACACAAACAGCAACAACCACAGCTTTTTTGATATAGATTTTTGTTAGGTTTATAATTAATCCTAATGATTGACACTAATCATATTCTTGCAGTTATTTCTTTTAAATACTTGAAACATGAACTATTTATTTGCAGTCTCCTGATTGTGTTAGACTACAATACCTATCATCTCCAATAATCTTGGTAATGATGTATGACTTCACACTTTTTCCATTTCCCACTTATTCAAAGCTATCCTGCATTAATTCATTATTTAAGTCTCGTTGTACTAGTCATGTAATATTAGATAGCCAATAGCAAATAATGTGATTTACAATAAGATATATCCAAATAATATACATATATTCTTATTTTGCAAACCTCAGAACATATGCTTATCTTTGTAATGTTTATTGAAATGTAGTTACATAGAAATAGCCACTGAGTCTCCTTATAAAACAAATGCCCAAAATTTTATTTTCCCTTGGGTGATAAGTACTAATATAGCATCTAAAATAAAATATATCTAAAATACGTACATGCATACATAATGTAATATAAAAATGCACATCTGTTTTTATACTGCTTTACTATTGTACTGTTAACATTTTATTACATGTTAATATATATAACAAAACAGCCATCTTTAATCTTCAATTTGATTGGATATTCTGGCTGGAGCATTAAATCTCTAATGCTTTATTTTTCATAATTTGCTGCAAATTAAGATGAGTGCTTTATATTCAAGTGAATGTGCAGTAATTTCATTGTGTCTTCATGAATTAAATTGCTAGTGATTTTTACTAAATGAGTTCTTCAATTTAATGACCAGAGATACATAATTTTGAAAAAAAATTTGAATAATAGTACCAGTTTTCATATGCTTGTATAGATATTCTTGTATTGTGCCTTTTATGATATGTTTGTAGACACCTGTCCCCATTCATTCCTTATTATTCTGACGATTTACACAGCTTTATCTCCTCTAGGTTCCCTCCACACATGGTCCCTCCACATCATAGTTTACATACAACTGGGATTCCTCATCCAGCAATAGTCACCCCAACAGTCAAGCAAGAATCTTCTCAGAATGATGTTGGCTCACTCCATAGCTCGTAAGTTTTTGTTATTGTTATTTACATCTAAATTTAGTTTCAAATAGTGGTCTAACTTATAGCAGGCAGTGTTGGAAAGCCTTTCTATATACAATTGGGGTTGAAAATTTAGAATCTAAGAAGCTGGCTTAGACTGAGTTTGATCATTGGACCAATTAGCTCAGTGATTTACAATGATTTTCTAGGGTTTCCAGCATGAGTCTTTTAATATCCTATTGGAAGCTGACAGGGATCAAAAGATCAACCTTTGGCCTGTAAGGTTATGCTCAACCACTGACCTATTATCCATTTGTTTTAAATTTGTTTACATGAGCATTTAGTCTTTAATTAAGATCTCTTGACTCAACAATCAATGTTTTGTTCATAGTGAATGGATGTCAAGTTCATTTAAACAATTTTTATCTATGTGAATTCTTTGCTTGGAGAGTACCTGTGAAAAGCATATTTATGCTTTCACATGTGAAATACATATCAAACATGCACTGAGTCAATATCATAAACAGTGCAGTTGGAACAGTCTGGAATCTCATTTCTGTAATTATGGGTTGCTGATTAATGTATACAGCCTTAAATATTTGTTATCTATGTTTTAATCCTATAAACTGAATCATGATTCATATACATTTGTTATAAAATCAAATAGTGTATTTATTGGTCAACGTTAGAATAATCAAATGAACATTATGTTTATTTCGACCAAGTACAGTCTTATTTATACTATGCTAAACCTTCTGTTTCCATCCTGCATGGCTGAGGATTTTATTTTCAGTTACTGAGACTATCCCATAATGCCTTTTATTTAAACTATTTATACCACCTTAAAAGATCTTTTTCTGCTCTGAGCCATTAATATTATTGCAGGACATATACTACCCATTCTGATGAAATAAATGAAAAGGCAACAATGTAATTTACCATTCTTGTGAAATAGTAGTACCATACTATCTTGCAGGAGCCCTATTCATTATGTGTATATTAAATGATAGATAGAGATAGATAGATAGATAGATAGATAGATAGATAGATAGATAGATAGATAGATAGATAGATAGATAGATGGGTTATAAATTGCAGTTCTATAAATTAAATAGACTATTTCCTGCATTCGATAAAATGTCCCATTTTTAAACCTTCTTGGAAGATTTTCAAATGTAAGAAAAATAAAAAAAATCATTTACTTGTTGCTATGGTTTTATTTGAGAAGAGGTTAAAATATAGAATGTATAATGTCATGCAAGTTCTGTTTTTTTATTTCTTGTCAACTGTCTAGAAAACATCAAGACTCCAAAAAAGAAGAGGAGAAAAAGAAACCACACATAAAGAAACCTCTTAATGCGTTTATGTTGTATATGAAGGAAATGAGAGCGAAAGTTGTAGCAGAATGCACGTTGAAAGAGAGTGCTGCCATCAATCAGATTCTTGGTCGAAGGGTAGGTAACTAGTCAGGGTATGCGTACAAACCTTGTTGAATGAAACAAGCAAGATGTCTAAAATAAAAAGACCCAATCCATAAACTTACTTCAGGGGAGATTATGCCTATCCCATGGAATGTGCAGCCTTTTTCTGACTTTGTTGCTCTAGCATGATGGGCTTTTGGCATTTCCTTATGTTTTAGGGTAACATATAGATGATTATTACATCTATATGTAGTTACACTTCTATGGCATAACTAATTGCTATCTAATGCCAATAGATGTTTTCCCTGCTTCCCTTGATTTTAGGTTTGAATGTTATCACTGCCTTCTCATCTTCATTTGCCAACCAAATCTGGTGCCTCCATTTTTGAAAATATTTGGTGTGCTTTTTTATTTCTCTTGGTTTTTAAAAATACCTTAGTGGTTGGATTCAATTTATGATCCATATTTGTACCCTTTTGGAACAGGAACATCCCATCCACAAAGTTTTAGACATTAATGTTGGAATCTCTAGATGCAAGAACCCTAAATCTGATAAGTAGATGCCTAAGAATCATAATTTAGCAACAAAACTAATAATAATGTAGAATTACTACTACTACTTCTACTATTACTAATTTTAGGACTTATAGCCAGCTATGACCCCAAATTACTTCAACTCAAAACCAAGCAGTCATTGGCAGTGTTTTTGGAACTGGCCATGCCTTCTTTCTAGGGGTGAGACTGACTGGCCCAAAGTTATGTTGAAAGTTGAACAATTTTGCTGTGCAGACGAGCCATACATCATTGAAAGTATGCACTACAGTTTTTATTTTTTCTTGTTGTTTTACCTTAGGAAGGTATTCTAGAATGATATGAAATGGTACATTGTAATTTAAAGTGTTTGAAGGCCATTTCCTGCATGTCTCACTCAAAATATAGCTTAGTACAAATTTAATCCTTGCGATACTACACCTTTCCTTTTTCCTAAATGGCAATTAATTGAAACTTGACTGAACTAATAGTAGACTTTTTATCAATAACAAACAATGTGTCATCCATATTTATTGATATGTTCATATGTAGCTTTCTAAGAAGTACTAAATACTCTTTTGATTGTGGCTCTATTTCTTTTTTTTTTTACAGTGGCATGCACTATCTAGAGAAGAACAAGCAAAATATTATGAATTAGCCAGAAAGGAACGACAACTTCACATGCAGCTTTACCCCGGCTGGTCCGCACGGGATAACTATGTAGGTGGCTATGTAGGTAGAATTCTTTTCAGTAGTAGAGCTTGTAGAAAAGTACTGCTGTAATCTGCTGAAGTACGCCCACACACGAAAGACAAGGACTAGCAATCCGGTAATTATAGCGGATGTTTCCGTTCTGTCGCCAACTCAATTGGATACAATTGGCACCCATTCAATAGAGGTGTGTCAGTAAAGTTTGGTGAGAACAAGTTTCTTGCAGAATTTATATTCTATCAGAACAATTTTTTTTATACTTTACCAAAATGATAGTAACAATAATAATAATAATGATACAGTTCTCTTTCTATTCTCACCTTCATCTCTTTCTCCAACCCCCAAAATTGAGTGCCTTGTTGCATACCTGTGTGAGAGTATGGTGGAAAGTGGAAGAATGGCTTACCCTAGCTTCAGAGAAGGCAAAGATTTGTTGGAAGTCTTGCTCTCAAGTGGGGCTAAATAAATTATTCCACCCTCTACTGTTTTATATTTTACTTCATTGTACAATTGTCTGTCATGATCACAGTTTGTTTAAAATGATATTGGCTTATCAATTACCTTGTATTGGCTCTTTGTTATTTAGCCCCTTTCTTATCTAAGTTTTCCTTTGAAAGATCCTGAATTGGGAGCTTGGCTGAAGAGATCACTGTGCATCATACATAATTCTGACTATGTGTTAACTTTGCTGATACATTGTGAACGAACATTTTACTCTCCAGTATTCATTTAAGCTTGGATGAAATGGCTGAATGTGTGTTTTGATGTAGAGGGAGGATATGAAGATCTATATCTGATCCATCAGTCTACATTCATGATTGTTTATTTCCATATATTTGTGACTGAAATATGAATGTATTTCATAACATGCAATAGGAATCTCCCAGTAAATGAATTGCATCAGTATCGACCATTTATTACCTAATAAAACCAATCCAAATCAAAAACAAAGCAAAGCACAAATACTCCAATAAGTGTTAATACAAATTTTAAATAGAGCTCAAATATTTTTGCTAGCAATTTGTAGAATATAAGTCGAAAATTTTGATCTGTTTATATAAAACTCTGTCCTATTTTATCACCAAAAAATGACTAAATTATGTGGTAGATTTGTATCTGTATTGGGCAGCTATAAAAACCATTTTAAATAAAAAAAACAAATAAATACATTGCCTGGTAAAGGCAATAAAAATAAATGCTAATTTGCCTAAATGCTGAAACTAAAAAAATAAAAATTGGGGTAAATATCCTATCTGACCTGATTAAATAAAGCATTTTGCACATGTTCTGCAGGTAAATGTAGAGTTTGATATCCTGTTTAACCAACCGGTTTTTCAAAAAGATATAATTCAGAAGTTCATAGTTCTTAAGATAGCCAACTGCCAAAAAGAGGGAAAGGGAAATTTTAGCAATGACACGCTATTCAAACATGAAAAATTATATAACTTAAATTATTCTATCTATTCTCCCTTATAGGAGACAGTTTGTTTGCATATTAACTAGACCATTTTGCAAAATCAAATTCAGTAACTTAACAATATTCCTTAAATTTATTCTTATGAATCTGTTTGAGACTGTGTTTCTGCTTAGTTTATTTTAACAAGTTTCTACATAGAAACACATAGATTATCTATTTATACATTTATTTAAAACATTTACATGGCCAGCCAATCATGTCAAGCAGATATCATCAAGCAACATACAAAGAGTTCTGTTTCTGAGTATAGATGAAGGTTTTGTTTTAAACACTAGCAACCCATATGTGGTATCAAAATGTTCACATTATCCTTTCCAAATCCATGCCTTTCCCATTTATTAAAATTTGTTTCTATTGCCTCTAGCTTTTTCCCCGCTTCTAAGCAGATAGCAGTGCTTGTGACCTTCTGTGATATAATTTTCTTTGCAACCCAAGAGTATATTAATTCCAAGTTCAAAGTTGCTACTAGGAGTTAAACTGAAATTCTCTTGCTACTGTGTAGTCTGATTTCCTCTTGAAATTCACAAGGCCATGCTGCAAGACTTGAAAGATTTTCAGGAAACATATTCTCCTCCTCCTCCACCTCCTCCTCCTCCTCTGACATATGAGCATGTTCAGTGGGACCTTTGGGACATTGGGACCTTTATAGTTGTCCTCCATGTGGAACCACTGAAAATTTCTTTCTAACTGAAGCTGAAAAAGATAGGCAAAGAAAGCTGAGGCATTTCCCAGCAGCTTTAAGTTCCATCCCCACCTGACATTCAAGGGGAACTTTCCTGCATATTAGGGGTAGGAGAGCTCAGTACAACCATAAGATATGTTGGGGTTTTATCTTTTTGCAATGTTGATTGGAATTTATTGACTTCCACAGGCTTCCTTTGGACAGCAGCTTTTCTATGTAAATAGAAAGATAATAAATGTAGGATGGGTCTTCTGTGTAAATGGACACCTACATCTCATTCACCTTCTATTTATATATTGCACAAATAATGGCATTGGAATTTGAAGCCCTGACATTTTTATTATGTACTTTTTCATAAATCTAGGCAAAATAATATTTTAGGAACCAAATGTTTGAATAGTCAACTTTCAGATACTAACTTTTGCCATCTGGAATAAGAATTATATAAACACTAGAAAATGTATTATTGGTTTGTTTTCCAAAAAAAATCTCAATTTTAGTTCAGTTAGTAGACATCTTAAACTACCAACATATGTATGCCATTAGCCATTTTTATTTCCCTAATAATAAGACTCATACAATGTAAGGACATTTTTATATTCCAAATAACAATAAGATGATTAAAATCAATGGAACAGCATAACAGATATATTATACAATAATCAGTCTTTAGGCATTTCAGTTCATTCTTATTTGTTAAAGAAATAATGGATTCAAGGTAAAGTGTTCATTAAAAATGACTGCTTGGTATTTGTATTAGTAAAGAAATAAAATTTGCTGTGGAGAAATATGAATAAAGTGACAGAAGATAAAATATATATAAAATGAATGCTAGTATTTGTTTCTGGTTTCCTGTTTTTAAAGGACACAAGAAACTGGAAAAAAGGAACCTAAAATGATCAAAGAAACAGTCTTTGCAAAAATAGGTTTAAGAGGTTATGATTTTATGTTAAGAAATATAACAAAAGGATTAATAAGAAAGGGATTTATAAAATTATGATATGTATTAACAATGGAGGGAGAAAAAAATGTTTGTGCTATAAGGAATTCTTATGTTAGCATAATATTAGCCTATATCATTTTGTTCGCTACTAGTTAATACAGTAGAATCTTAATTTAGCAGTCATCAATTTAATGGGTTTTTAATTAATTGGACAAAATTTGAGTCCATACTTCACCATTATTTAGCAAACAATCATTCAGGTTTAATGGATAAATCCAAAATTTGTATGAACAATTTACATATATTGCAAATTACGAACATTTCAGATCTAATGAACATTTGTATTTAGCAAATATCCTTTCTGTCAAATGGGCCACTAAATAGAGGCTATATCTTACAGGTAGTCCTTGACTTACAACCATATTTGAGCCCAAAACTTCTGTTGCTAAATGAGACAGTTTTTCAGTGAGTTTTGTCCCATTTTACAATCTTTCCTGCATTTATTAAATTAACATGGTTGTTAACAGAATCTGGCTTCCCAAATCACTTTGCTTGTCAGAAGGTCACAAAAGGTGATCACATGACCCCAGGAGACTTTAGCCATCATATATATGAGTCAGTTGCCAAGCGTCTGAATTTTGTTCATGTGACCACAGGGATGCTGCAATGATTGTAAGTGTGAAAAATGGTCATATGTCACTTTTTTCAGTGCTGTTGTAACTTTTAATGGTCAACAAACAAACTGTTGTAAGTTGTGGACCATCTATGCTGCTTTTTAAAGTTGATCGATATTTTGGATAACACATTAATGGCTGCCATAAACTTCTGAACATCGGTTTTGCATTTTATATTCTAAAGCACTTAACTATCTCCCTAGTAATTGATGTATGTATAGCTAAAATTTAAGTTGCTACCAATACAACTGAGTTTTTAGCACAGGAACCTCTGAAGTATTAATCTCCAGGGATGCCATAGATGAAAGTATATCCCAGTTCCACTCCACAAATCAGCCCATGAAAGGTATAAGTGAAACTGGGCCTTTGCTACAGTCAGTCCTTATTCACTTGTTACAGTATTCCCAGTAGCGCATTAAATTTTAACTAAACAAGGAACCAAATACACAGCCTTCTTTCTGTCACCAAAAATTCTCCTGAACAAGACTTTGTCTGTTACATCCAAAACAGCAGGGTTGCAGTTTACCACCTGAATGAGGAAAGAGAAGCAAGTTCAAAGGCCTTGTGCCTGGATACCTGTAGGAGCTGTATCTTCAAAAGGAACATTCACAACTCCTGCACTTGCTGGTACATTCCAGGTAGCATAAACATCATAGTGGACGTGCCAAATACAAACCCAAATTGAATTGTTGAAGTGGTAACTACACCAGAGCTATTGAAAAGAAGACGTGACAGATATAGGAAAAAACCCTGCCAACCATTATCCTTATGTTTACAGCCATAATTTCATTAAGGACAAACTCTCACTCTGACAGTATGATGCTCATTCTCAAGGGAAATGACAGAGTATTTTAGCTGTGTCACTTCCTTGTACATTTCCATTATTATTTTGTTTTTGAAGGGAAAGTTTAATGGGCCATCATGTTGTTTGTAGCCTAGGGCAGGGGTAGGCAACCTTGGCTCTTTTATGACTCGTGGACTTCAACTCAGGTGGCTCAGGAATTCTGGGAGTTGAAATCCACGAGTCATAAAAGAGCCAAGGTTGCCTACCCCTGGCCTAGGCCAACAAAAGTTTAAAGTTAGTAGATTTTATTTATTTACTGCTTAGAGGGAAAAAAGTGTATTTATTACCAAAGCTACAAAATGTTCCTTTTCATACACAATGAAACTTTTTTGGGTCATTTTATAAAGTTACATGAATGCCAATACAATTTCCTGAAGTTCTACAGCAAAATATAATTTACTATACAGAGCATTTCCATCTTTTTGTATCTAAGTAATAATGTTTTGGAAAATGGCCCTTACTTGGCACTATTTTGCAATTCATTTTTGTTTTGATTCATATTTCACAAACATTTGTAATGTAGATGTAGTGAGCTTCACTTGGTTCATATTTATGAAATATTTCCAAAATCCTAAATTCTCTGCAAATGAGGTTGGAAAGAAGAGCTGAATGTGGAAGGACATGATAATCCTTATTTATGTTTAATTCTTAAAGATATCAGTGAAACCCCAGTTTATTTAACCGTGCTAAGATGCTGATTTAGGATATAATTATGCAGGATGGAAAGAGCTTGACATTTTAAGGATCAAACTAAATGTTAGATATGTCCATCTGTACTTTTGAATGCCATCTTTTCCCTATTATTTACTGTCATCAGTTACACTACTACTTGTTTACACATTATAGTTTTCTAATCAGTTATAGTGAGAAATGGTCTACTGTATGTTTAACATGCTTTACTGTTTTGTTTCTTAACTCTTTTTGCAAGACTAGCTGCATTTGTGTGTCACGGCTGTTTCATCAATCCTTATCCATACATTTCTTTTTTTAGACTATATCAGTCATTGTGTTAAGCTATCAATTTTGGGAATGGTTGCATTATCCTTATGAATGGAATGAAATGTTCAAAAGAAGGAGTATAATTTAAATTATTATTATACCATTTAACTGTGTGTGTGTTTTTAGTGGTTTACAGCGTTGTTGTAAGTATTGCAAAATAGCCATTTTCCCTCATTTCCTTTTGTAAGATGCTTTTGTAACAATCTGTTCATGTATTTATGTTTCATTCAGGGAAAGAAGAAGAAGAGGAAAAGGGACAAGCAGCCAGGAGAAACCAATGGTAAGTAAAACTTGTATTTCTTCCTTATAGAAGCAAGGAAGGCCATAATCTCCTAATTAGAAAGTAAGAAAGCTTGTAGCTTTATTTCTTAGGAGTCCATTAGTCCATCCAGCTTTTTCCTGCTGGGTTTTAAATACTACTAAAATTGGTTTGATACCACTTGCCTTTTAAAACCTGTAGCCAAATACGTGCATGGATACTCCTGCAATAGTAGTCACGTTTTTCTTTAATAACTGCAAATCCGTTTACCATAGCGCCATAGTCAGTTAATGCATATGGCATTTTACCTAAGATATTTGCTGTGTCTGCGTGTGTCTGTGTGTGTGCGCGCATCTGTGAGTTTGACATTAATTTGGGCTGTACCTGTGTGATCTGATGCATGCCTTTACAGTGATAAATTGCAGCCATTGTTTTTTAAAAAATTAAGGAGGTTTGCCATTCTCTCTAGAAAATTAGAAATACTGCATAGGCAATCTCATAGTCAATTTTGGAAAAAACCCTGATTAATTTTTTTTCCTTGAAGCCTTTGTATAATTTGTTCTTTTTTTTCAGAACACAGCGAATGTTTCCTAAATCCTTGCCTTTCACTTCCTCCGATTACAGGTGCTAATGTCATTTTCAGCCATTTAAAAGTAGTTTTGTAAATTGCTTTACATTTTTTTTTCCTCCTGCCATTTTAAATTTTATTAACATTTAAACACAGACATAACCATAATCATTCACACATTTGTAGCATACATGTATATTTATAATATTCTATGATTGATAGTTTTGTTTTGCTTCTGATTTGTTATTCATTGCAATGGCAATTAAACAGTAATGCAGTAAAAGTAACTCAGTTGTACTAACTGTGCAAATTGAATATGCAGTATTTCTTTAAAGAGACTGATCTAAACTGAAAAACCCTTAATAATGAACCTCCTTAATCTAATGGCATTTCACACGGCACCCACTAAGTCTTCTTATGCCAGCATGCAACCACAATATTTTTTTTTAAAAAAAAATTATTTTCCATTTCTACTCCAACATATTCATGGCTATTCTCTGCTTTACTTGCATACTGCTTGCTTCCATGCTTCCAATCATTTTCTTTCTGGCTGAAACTAACATATCCATTTTGCTATCTGCTTATTCTGAACCATTTTTAAAAACAATAAAAGAACAATAAATGGAATGTTTACTTCAAAGCTGCATTATCCCCCACACACACTTGCCTCCTCAAAAGAAACTTTTCTTTTATTCCATTTTGTTTCAGTTTAAAAAAGAAAGCATGTTGTAGATCTTCATATTGAACTGCCCCTCCCCGGCTTTTTTTGTGTTTAATACTTACTCCAAGTATGCAGTCCATCAAGCCTTGTTCTCATATAGCTCCTTTTGCATCTGGAGCTTATGAAGGAACCGTTGATGGGTGCCTTTTCAGTGCCTCTTAACTGGTTAAAGTTTATTTTTTATAGACAGTCTTTCCAGGGATACTGCAGCTTTAATTGCAACAGCTAATCTCAATAGTTTGATAAATGCAATAATCACTATTATTAAAAAAAAAAAGAAATGAACAATCAAAAGTTTATATTATACAGTTAATAATGAGGTCATTGATTTTATTTCCTTCTTATTTTTATTTTTATTTCTTATTTTTTCTTATTTTTTTTTATCTTCTCTCTCTCTCTTTCTTTTTCTCTCTTTTTCTCTCTTTTTGCTCGCTTCTTTCTTGACCTCATTCAGACCTGAGCGCTCCTAAGAAATGCCGAGCGCGCTTTGGCCTTGATCAACAGAATAACTGGTGCGGTCCCTGCAGGTGTGTATAGTCTTCCCCCCCTCAACTTGCAATGGCTGGTTTTGCAGCTGGTTTATTTGGTACTTTCCCTGCCCTTCCCTTTCCTCCTGCTTCGTTGCTTTGTAGCTCTGTGTTGTGATCTAGAGCACAAAAGGGAGTGGAATGCTGCTGTGAATGATCCTCTCGTTCTGTTTAAAGGATTTTGCTCTCCTTCACCCATTTTGTTTCCTTTTCCCCTCCTTGTCACTGCCGCTAGCTGAAAAAAAATCCCACTGTAAGACAGCATCAGCCTAGACTTGCACACACAGTTCCATCATCCTCTCTGGAAAGTTGCATACATTGTTAGAAAACATTGCCAAACATCTTTTGATATCACAGTGCAGCAGTTCAGCAGAGAAGACACAGGGCTAAGTCAAGGAATGCACAGCAGGTGTAGGCATTGTAGGTGTGTGTCACCTTGCAGAGATCCTCTTTCTTTCATGCCCTTTGGTCTGAGAGATTGGCAGTGAACTGAGTGAAATGTTAGCTGTAGCTGAGATTTCGCATCCAACTGAGCTCTGTCCACCATTGTGTTGTTGTTGTTTTTTTATGTTTACTTGTGCTAACAGATGCAAATACTCCAAAGAAGTGTCGGGCATTGTTCGGGCTTGACCGACAGACTTTATGGTGCAAACCGTGCAGGTATATAACCCATTAGGCCTTTGGGGAAATAAATGAATTTTGTCATCTTAGTGTTACATGTGTGGTTTATTTTTAACCCTTTCCTCTTCCTGCTCTCTTCCTTGCTTCTGTGAGATCAGATTGCTAATAAATTTTGATCTTCAACATTCTTTGCTGATTCAATACAAATTGAATTTTCTTCCTTGAACAATAATTTCTCTTTTGATAGCTGAACTGGATTGGTTATGCACACGTGCACATCTGTGGAGAAGTAACTCACATTTTTTTTATCCAAGCAAGAAACTTCAGTATTTCTTGTGTTAAATAAACATTTACCTAAGGATCTCTGTGAATGTCTAGAGTCTCCAAAGGATATTAAAAGGCTTTATTATTTGCAACATGATATATTCAGACCTGAACAAAGAAGATGCCAATTGGGATTTTACAACTCATAATGTTGAATCATTCAAATGATGAATGGCTTTTTAGTAGTGGAACGATTTTATATCTTCTCCTTCTCCAATGCTCTGCTCTACTTTTGGCATGTCATTTATGCAATAAAAGGGGGCACAACTATGGGAAAGAAATTCATCAATCGATCTGATGTTCATCTTATTACTAAAATGTATCGTTGGCACATACAGAGGTCACCCAGAAGAAATATTTATACTAGTGCATTTGTTAATTCAAGTTGAAAATTAAAGGCACCCAAAAACAACAATTGAAACAACCTTCTGCAGGTTTAAGCTCCCTTGGTAAATTCTGTAGGTACGTGGTGAAGGGAAGCAAGCTATCTTTCTTTCTGCATTTTTCCCCTAATATGGTTAAATTTGTTATTTCTCTGTTCTGATCCAAGCAGTCTTTGAATTTGGACTATTATGATGGTAGGTATTTCAATCTGACACACACTCTTTTCTGTATGTAGTGCTTCCCTCTTCACCTTCCCCTCTGATTCACATCCCTATCATATGCTTCATTCCTTTTTTTAGAAAGTAGAGCAGTTATTCATGTTATATGCATGCCAGTTCTATTAGTTTTGTGATGCTGAACTATACACATGGATTGAAAATGATACATCTAATTAATAGATAAAGTCCATGCATAGTCCTGGGGAGAGGGGTTTGAATTTCACTTATATCTTGTAATTTTCCATGCATGCTTAAGAACTATGATTTGTGTGAGAAGCAATAATAATAGCAAATGCTGTTATCAAGTCAGATATTAAATGCCTAAATTTTACACTAAAACATATGTGACCAAAGGCATCTAATCTTGTATTAATTAAACATGGTATATTGAGTAGTGTTCCAAATTTGTACTCAGTAAGGCCATATGATTTGAGCTGGGAAAGGCCAACAGTGTTGATTTCATCCAATTGGCTATAGCCACAAAAGCAGCAGGGAGAAAAGATTCACTTATTTGAGTAATAGAATATGTATGCTAATAAAGATTTTGGCATAGGCATTTCCATTAGACATTACATCTGTTCGTTGCCATATTTACTCTATCCTGGCTTGCAAAAAGGGATAATAGAATATAGTTTCTGATCCAGTGCAAGGCCTTTAAAAAACCCTTTGTGTGAGCCATATCTTGAGAGAAGAGCGGAAAGGGATGGCATTGATTATCAGATGTAATTTCCAGCTTACTGTCATTACTCTAAATTACAGTAGCATCTTTCATTAATCATGTATTGTAACTGGAATTTCCAATTTTAAAGTTTCTTGTTATTGATGTAGAATGCTTTTAGTATACTATCCTTGAGTTGTGCACATTAAAAAGCACATGCTTCTTTTAATAGAACATAATTTCAGCTGGATGAAAAATCATTGTTCAGTCTATGATCTGGAAGCTATAATGTGTGTAAATTAAGTCTTGTAGATTTTTTAAAAAATGCAATAAATAATAGTAGATCACGGGCCTGAAACACCATGCGGCTTTATTAATATACTGCAAGTTCATCAATAGAGTAGATCTCAAACAGTCAAATAATAATGTTATTTTTGAAAAATCAGGTTCAGGTTAGTAATAAGTAAGACCAAGCAGCTACTCTCATGCCACTATTTATAGAAAACTTAGATGTCCACTTTATTGATTTCTTGCACTCAGAAGGAATAGTGGTCTATTCTTCATATTCCCATTTGGCTACAACATTGAAATTAAAGGTTTGTTTGAATTTTATTTTTAATACCACTTCTGTAGATAAGCAACTAATTATAGAATAATTACTAAGTACCCTCAGTTTTCATTTGGTTTAGGTTTCCTATGCTGGATGAAATACCACTTATTGTACATTAAACACTTTGTTCAAAGATATATAGATTGCTTAACTGAACATGATTTTAAGTTAAATATTTTATCCACACTCCAGTAATTCAGAAATAAAAAAGGAATAGCTACATTATCTATCTGGTGATATATTCAGTGAAACATCCTAAGTATGTTTGTGTGTGTTTTTAAATGAATAAATATATGAAGAAAATATTGAAGAAAATAAATACATTCTGAATAATTAAATACTGAGGTAGCCTGATTGGAATATCCAATGGCCAAACTTCTTTTTTTCCTCATAGTAATGATTCAGATAGAATCAACTAGAAAATAAGCAAATGCCTATTTTATAATTTGGATGATCATAGCACAGGGGTTTCTAAAGAGCAATCTGCACACGGTCTAAGCTCATCATTTGTTCTGGAAATGTTTATGGGTAGAGAAAGTATAATATGCTTCAGATAAATAAAATAATAAAGAGAGAAACATCTCTCATTAAAGACATGGCAACATCTAGAATCACTTTCAGAATTCAAGGCACATTAATCCAATTGTAAGTGTATGGCTAATGTATTTCATTGGGGTGTGCAGCAGTAATTGCACATATCCTAAGGCACATTAGTACCTGCTGTCTTTCAGTATGTAGAGATAGGTTTGCTCTCATACTAGATAAGAGACTGGTTTTAATTTGAAGTGATTTTTAGAAACAATTGGCAGCAACCAAACTCATAACATCAGCAAAGAATACTGCAATAAAGTTTCTGGATTACACTATTGGCTTAGTATGTTTTGTATTTCCTTGGTTAAGTATTGCAATAGATTTAAATTGAACAAGGAAAAGTTGGGTGGTAGAGAGTGAAGGAAACTAAATTTTGAGCACTGATCCCAGCCCTACTATACATGAAATGTTCAATGTAGAAATATGTCATTATCATCTCAGGACAAGAACATGTCTACTCTTGTTACTTTTCCTATTCCTACTGATCCTTATCCTGATCTTTGGCAACCAGGACTGCAAAGAGAGGCATGTGTAAGGTTGATGATGGAAGGAAAGGGATTATATTTTCAAACATACCCATTTACCCATAAACATGTATACAACTATGCTTTGTGTTGCATGGCCTGCCAGAATCTTCTATCAATAGCATGAAAAATTATCCACATGGTCCCTATTAAATTTACTTGCAGGGACTTCTGTACTACTTGGAAAACTGCTTTGTTCAGGCAAGACTTTGCATGTCAAATGCTAAATGTCTTCATAGAATGAATTCTTCAAATATGAATAGCACTGTGTTAGCATAATATTACACATTTCCCGTGGGTCGGTAAAAAACCAAAATGCTGCTTTAAACACTTGTTCAGTAGCATTGACTCCTTTCTGCCTGTAGGGACTAATTAAAGAGTAAGGCATAAAGGACATGATATCAGAACTACATTAATTTCAGCCTAATATAGTTGTGATTATTGTATAGGAGACATTTAGTAAGGTTTTGTTTAGAGCCCACCAAATTGCTCTTTCTGTCTTTTTCTTGCCTTAATACAGCATGATTTGCTATTGCCTGCCATCTCGACTTTTTCTGTTATTTTCTGATATTTGTTACAGTTTTAATGGTTTCATTCTTAAATTTTACATGCATGGTACCCTTAGTTTCTAGCATGTATCAGTACATTAGTGTGATAAAAATTCTCCATTCCCATAACAATTGAATGTGCTTGGGGCAGAAAATATAACTATTGAGAGAAAAAAATGTTTAGTCTTCTACTTTCCAAATATATATGAAAACTATATGGAGCAAATATTGTGAGATTCCAAGATTTATTTCTTTAATGTTTTTTAAGATGGACTGTTAGCTTCTTTATACTAAATGGTTGGTCCATCGTCTTCAGTATTGTCTACACCAATGGTTGTGGTTTTAGATGGGAGGGAGTGTAAAGAAATGAACCCGGGTCTTCAAAATAAAAAAAACATTGCATATCATTTGTGATCAAAGCTGCAGCAGCAAAGGGCTGCACCCAAACAAACATCACTGCAATGAAAGGAAAGCTGTGAAATAAAAAACAGCAACAATAAACTGCATATTCCTTTATTGGACTTCATACTAATAACTTTCTGGTAACAGGAACCTGTATTCTATACAGGTTTTCCCCCCCCTCAGAATACTACTTAACTGCAACCTAGGGTAGTATCCATGGCAACAGAAGTTTTATTCTTTTTACATTTTTTGAAAATATTAGCTAATGCTCTCATAAAAGCAAATGTGCAAGTTATTTTCAGTTGGTTAGTTTATTATATCCTCATTAATACTTTTAGCAAAGAAAAACCAGTATTTCCTAAGGCTGGTTTATATTTGGTCTACAAGCTACATCCATTGTTGGCGTCCTATTTTTGTTCTCCCTATAGACATACCTTCTGAATACGATGCTACATTGTGCATTGGACAGGTGTCATCTTTATATAAGTTTGATAAGTGGGACATGGACTATGGCTTGACATAATAGGGCTGATTTACTCTTTTAAGATGATAATGCTCATTGTGTGCACTGCACCAACCGTTTAGACTTTCTTCAAGTTGCCAAAATGAATTCAAATGACATTCCTATAAATCAAAGTAGAAACTAAATCTTCCCAACCGATCCTTACAAAAAAAGAAAAAAAATACGATAAACCCTGCAGGTAATACAACCAGTTATTCTTGTTAACTTGAATGATACTTCTGTTAATCTTTCTGTTTCTTTATTCCCCACTTTTATTTTTTCCTGTTACTTTCTCTTTTTCTTTTTTGTCTCTTGACACTTTTTTTTTCACTCAATATGGTGTGGTTCTAAACAGAAACATTCAGAAGTGATACATCTTCACCTACTTTTGATTCATGAGAGGCAGGACTCACTGAAAGGAGATTCCTGAGTTAATCTAACAGAATGATATTTATTTCATTTGTATCTTGATTGCCCATCAAAGGTTAACCTTGTGACAATTAAAAATTATAGAAGTAATTTTTTAATGAAATTTAAAATATTGATTCGGTATCAGTCACAGAATCTGCAATACGGTAGTTGTTTAATGAAGTGAGAATATACAAAGTACAGAATTAAACAATAAAATGCATTCATTTAAGGCAAAAATAACTTGAAACTTTTTGTTAAAATAGGCTAAAGAGCAAATTGCTCTAGATAGCAGAGTAAGGCTTCTGAAATAATGATTGTCCACTAGTAACTAGTATTATGTTGGTAAGCCCATTGGATGTAATTAAGGAATCCAGCAATCATTTGTTGGTCTTTTTTTTTAAAAAAAAATCTTATTCTGATTACAATTCAATAGCATATTTCTTGTACTTACAGGAGATATTTTTTTCTGTTTCTAGGAGAAAAAAAAAGTGCGTTCGCTACATACAAGGTGAAGGCAGCTGCGTCAGCCCACCCTCTTCAGATGGAAGCCTACTAGATTCTCCTCCATCTTCTCCTAACATGGTAGCCTCCCCCACAAGAGACTCAAAACCACAGACTGAACAGACCCAGCCTCTCTCGCTTACATTGAAACCTGATCCATTGGCACACCTTTCAATGATGCCACCTCAGCCATCCTCCATAATCCTGACTGAAAGCTCAACTGGCAAATCCAATGGTCTGCCTGCTAGTAATTGTCAGAACGGGGCACTGGACCATCAGTCAGCCACTCTACAGCAATCAGCACCTTCGTTAGCTCAACCATCAACATCCTCTTTGCATTCCCATAATTCTTTGGCTGGGAGTCAACCTCAGCCCCTGTCACTTGTAACTAAGTCTTTAGAATAGCTTTAGCTTCTGAGTGTTCTTTTTATTTTCATTTTTGTGTCAGGATTTTTTTTCTCTCATTTGTATTTTTTTTTTAAAAAAATGGTGCCATATGGCTGGCTACATTAGTTAATGTCAATCAAGTTCATTGGTCAATATTTGACCCATTGTTATTTCATTTCTTTTTCTTTTTAAATATGTAGATGGAAAAGAAAGCCTCATGATTCTGCCAAAATTTTTATCAACAGCTGTTTAAAGTCTTTGTAGCGTTTAAAATATTATATATATATATATACATATAAATATATATATACATAACTGTTATGTAGTTCCAATAGTTTAATTTCAAAGAACTGATTTTAAAAATGAAAAAAGAAGCAATTTTGAAGCAGCCTTTGTTGAAGGCGTTGGTTCTTTATTATTTGTATTAAATACGAGCTTGCGAACCAATCATTTTACATCTGGTTTTTAAAAAAAATTTAAAGGCACAATGAATGCAGTGCCACTAATTTTTTCTCATTTTTTTTCGTTGTGTGATACAACTTTTCTTGTGATGTTACTTGTTATTGTTTAAATGTACAGAAACAAAGGTTAAAATGTGTTAATATGCATTGTTCCATGGTGTTGTCCTTTTTGGGGGAGGGAATGCTACTCAATTAAAAAGTATCACAACGCTATTGGACCAGTAGTATTTATTGCTTTAGAAATTGCTTGTTACCTGTATGTTGTCCATTTTTTAAATGTTTTCCTTTTCCCCCCTTCAGATGTTTTGTAAAGTTTTTTTTCCTTTTAGTGTACACACCATATATATAAAACAACCCATTTGTACAAGGTTTTTAAGTTTATGTATAAATGTTATATATATTTTTGTTTATTTCTTTTTGTTTTATTTACTTTAATTCTTTATTTTGTTTTCTATCACGCAGTTGCCACCAAATGGACATTTGCAGATGGATCAATAGTATGTATGTGTGTGTATATAAAGCTTTTAAATTAAGCTTTAAAGCCATTACATGAAATAAGACTTGAAAATTTAGCACAGAACTTTTTTGTGATGCTGTTGGAAATGCAGCAGTGTCTCCTTTTGGAATACAAATAAATTTCCCTGCCAGTTGTAGGCTGTGAGCAAAACTTTATGTGCCAAAATTCTCAGTGATTTTTGTCTTTCCACAACAACTTTTTTACACTGTATTTTTTTTCTTCATCCTGTTTTGCTGTGATGTTACATAGGTAGATATGTACGTAGTTTTTAATGTCACCTATTACAGATGTGTTTGGTAGCAGATTGTCCAGAAAGCATTTAAAAATGAAGAGGTATAAACCCTAAAGGGCCAAATTCTGTATATTAGACTGTTCATAAAAGGAAAAAAAATCAGACTGCCACTTCTATGTACACTTAACTACATACAGGTAGGTAGCAAAGTTTAAAAAAATCCTAGGCATGTTGATGTTGCAAAAAAAAATTTTTTTTAAAGATAAAATGCTGTATAAAGCTGAAAGAAATGTTCATCTGTTCATCCAGTGCCATTGTAGTTGACATGAAGCTATTGTAAAACTGTCTCCAGTTTTCTTCTCTGGTTTATTAAAGATGCTAACTATGACATATTTTTTTGGCGGGGGGAGGGATCCTTTGAATGTTTTCTAACAGTTGTGATGTTACTGTTCCGTTTTATTGCTCTTATTCCAATTTTTCATTTTAATGGTTTGGAAGCCATTTTTGTAATGAATAAATGTCCATGCTGTACAGTATCTGTAGCATGCAGTTCTGGATTAATAAAAGCAACTTAGTATGTGCAGATGAAAAGTTTCAGCTCATTTACCATAGGCTTCCTTTAATCATTGGTCTACACTACAGTCAAAAAGTCTTCCAACAATGTACTTTTTGCCTCCATCTTATATAACAGCTACGTAATCTGTGTGTTTATAGGTTGCAGAATAAACTGTCAACAACTATGGTAAGGATAGTTATTAAATATTTACTAATTGCCTAACCTGAAGGCTGCGTAGAAAGCTTTCTATTCAGAACAATATGTGATAGACTCAGGACCAATAAGAGACGGGACAGGTAATTATTGCTAGGAATTGCCCAAATGCACAGTATGTACCCAAATTTCAACCTCATGATCTAATTACTTTTAGACAATCTTTGGGACAGTTGCATTTTTTTCCCCAAAAATTATAGGGCTTCCTTTAAAAGAGCTAAGAAATTCTAGTAGTTTCAAGAAGCAATTAAAAGAAGAAGCACATAAGTTTCAGTGCTTCTGCTTTCCATAATTTCTTGCAGTAAGCAAAAGATGATAGTTTTCCTCATTCTACCTTATTTATTTGTTAGATTTGTATTCCACCATTTCTTCAAGAGCCCAAGGTGCTTAGCTGGAGATTTCCCTGTATTATGGGAAGATTACAGACTTCAGTTATACAACATATAACCCTTCTTTCCTTGCCTAATCCTGTGATTGGAGCTTACTGTAAAAGTCCCATGTCAAATACTAGAAGGAGGAAGAATTTCTCTTTTTACATTAAATCCTTGTGCTTGTCTCACGGTCTTCATTCTGGATTTTTAATAAGCACAAACAAATTGCTTCCTGTATTGGAGAACAGATGCAACATCTGTATTTGACTGCAATGATAAAATGCATCTGTAACTCATAAAATGTTGAAATGACTTACTGCCAAAGACTTGCCATTGCTTATTTGTTAAATTCAATTTTAGGCATTTCTGATTTAATGGCCCATGGTAAAATCTATGAGGCTAATCAGTTCTAAGAGATTTGCACATTTTGTAGAAGACACTTATTCCATCGATGTATGCATCCTATATTTGGCAGCAAGTTTTGTTTTTGTTTTCATTATTATTTCTTCTCTATTGCATTATTTTCTCATAAGAGAAATTCATCATACTTTTTAGGAAGTGATGGAAAAGTATGTCACTATGAAGAAAAAGTCTCTCTGGAACATTTGTTTTAGAATTTATGCCCAAAAGTATACAAGGAGAATTTGTACTGTTTGGAATGGTAAGGGGAGCTTTGCTTTTGGAAGATTTTTACAATGTAATCATAGGCTAAGTTTAATGGAGATTTCTTCACATAGAAATGAATAGAGTTAACATTTACAACATATATATATATATATATATATATATATATTGTATATATGTTTCCAAATTGTATATTATGGGCAATAATACCATGAACCTAGGCATAGTTCTGCGGCATCCTTCCACTTGCATTTATGCGGGTAGTCCTCAAGTTACAATCATTAGTTTAACAACCAAAAGTTACGACAGCACTGAAAAAAGTAACTTATGACTTACACTTCACAGAGTCTCCACAATTACACGATCAATCTCACGTTGTTTGTCACCCAGGTTGCATTTACAATGGTTGCAGTATCCCACAGACATGTGATTGACATTTACAACCTTTCCCAGAGGGCTTCCAACAAGCAAAGTCAAAGGAAGAAGCCAGATTCACAAAACAATCAACCGGGTTCACTTAACAACCATACAATTTGCTTAATGTCTGTGGCAAAAAGAAAAAAAAAGTAATACAATCGGGTGCATCTCAATGCTGACATCACTTAGCAATGGAACTTCTATCCCAATTGTTGTAAATTGAAGATTACCTGTATTGGAGATCATAAAGCATAATAGTCTAGAAGATATAATGGATAAAATATAAAAATTAATATTGTTATATTTTGTTTTTCCCTATGAGATATGGAAATACTTAAACCGGAAGGGATTACATCCTGTGTTTCTTTTTCTAGTGTCCTATATAGAAACTACAGATAAGATATACAGGTAATACCTTAAAAAATACTATGAAATTTAAAGTAATCACAAAAAGGTGATATTAAATAATCTTGTATAATTTGGAGGTAGTACTAGGCACACCATTTTATTTTTATTCAATTTGAACTATTTATATTATAATATCAAGAAATGCAAATATTTTAATTTGCATTACCTATAACTGAAATAAGAAACCATGTTGTGATTTGGGGAAAAAATTCCAATTACACTATCCAACCAACTTTGGTTGTGTAGTGATATAGTGATAATACTAGGGTGAAATCTCAATACATCTATTTGCCTTCTCACTTAATGGTTAAAAAAAAAATCATACCGACAAAACTGGTGACTTGACATTGTATTTCAACACGATGATCTTTCAGGACATCAAACTGACATTAAAATAAGGTGGAATAGCCACTTCCCAGTTGCTTCTTACCCATTTCTGTCCTATTTAATTATTTAAAAAGTATATTTGCACCCATGACTACTAATCCACCATAAATCCTGAAGAAAAGATGGAACATAATGCTTAAAATATTTTTTAAAACCAAAACAGTTTTTCTTGGAAATCTTGCGTATATTTAACATAAGCATCCAAGCAGGTGAAACTAAAACAGTGATAATGATCAAAGCTCAATAACAACATATTCTTTAGAACATGATTATAACTGCTTAAATATCTGCTACTAGACTGAAAGAAAGTATTAAAAGATCTACATTGGTGAAATTCTGGTCCTGGCTGCTCTTAAAAGGACAAGAGAACTACTAAGAAATATATGCACCCATTTCATTATGGTTTATTTAGGTTATTAATTCAATATAGTTATCATCTTCCAGTATCATAGACAGTGCTATTATACTAATTTGCTGTTAATGGATTCTTTCTAGACCTCTCTGACTATTAAAGGAGAGAATGCTGAAACTACAAAAGACAGATCCAGAGGTACTTTTTCCAAAAGGCAACTGGACATTCTTGGTTTTTCTCTTTGAACATTTCGCTTCTCATCCAAGAAGCTTCTTTAGTTGTGAAGCTTCTTGGATGAAAAGAGGAACATTTTTAAAAGAAAAAAAAACCCAAGGAAGTCCAGTTGCCTTTTGGAAACAGGACTTTTGGGACAACTATGACTTGAATGATTGAGAACCTCCATATGCAAAATACAGAATTCAATGGATGTGGTCCTGAGACCATTGTCACAGTCTTCCAATACTTTATATCTTTATTTTTGTGTCTTTCCCAACATTAATTCAGCACTGTAGTTTCTTAGATTGCCCTTTTTTCTCCTTTCCCCCACTGTTTTATATTCCAAAATTTAGGAGACATAGAGTATTAGGAGAAGAATTTTGTTCTGCTGTGTGTTTATTTCTTTCATTTGTCTTACTGAGCCTAATCTGAACACAATTTCTTTTGAGTTCAGACATAAACAGAATAAATAATCTTAAGTGTATAATGATTGTATAAGTAATGATTTAACAACTTCCTTATTTCCAAAAGATTTTATGCTGAATTAGTAAACAGTAAGGAAAGGGAATAGCTTACCTATATGGGATTAATTTATTTTAGGAAAGGGATATTTTAAATAGGTTTAGTATGATAGTAAGAATTACATTGATTTACTATAATATATTTATTATCTAAAATATTTGTTCTACTTTCAAAATATTGTTTTAGCCATATATGTTGCATTCATGCATATTTAATTAACTAGAACTACTTTAACAAGTCTCTCAATATCAGCATGTGTTTACCTACTGTAAAATATTTTAATGTGTTTTAACCTATTTGATATAATGGACTCTAAAAGTGGGCTATAGATCTGACAATATGTTAAAGACAACAATTGAATATAATTTTATATTACTTTTTCATTAATTGTTAATCATGGAGAAAAAATATACAGTTCTACAATTCAGCTTTCTTACACTTTTGTTTAACTAAGAATGGTGACACTTAGCTACTAGTTGGATTTGGAAAATCTCTGCAGAGCCAAGCCTGATTAGTAGTTTTAGAGAAATGTCTACTACTAAGAAATAACAAAGATAAGTCCTCCCCAAAAGCACTGAAAAACAGCCACAGCAAGAATGTTCCATATTCGTGCTTTTTGTCCAAAAAAGAGAAAAGAAATTATATGGTTATGTCTATATATGCAGTCACAGAGGTCAAATCATTTTCTTCAAATCAAGAAAATCTTTTTCTCAAGAGCTGGGAGGCAATTTTGGTCAAACTTGCCTGGATTCAGAAGCTAAGGAAGGACACATCCTTGTCTAGGACTTCATGGGAAACTATAGAACATTCCTAGATTGTTGGATAGAGTTGAAAAACTGCCTAGAAGAAGTTAATGGCAAATAACATCTCTATTGCGGCCAAGCCAAGTTCATGGTTATATCTATGAGATAACCAGGGTCCAGATCATGGTTGTTTTTACTTTTTATGAATGTGCATGGCCTATGTTGAAGGTACCATATAAGCCATGATATAAGCAGTAGGTATGGGTTTCTTTCATACGCCTGGGAGAAATAGAGGGGGGAAAGAAAGAAGATTAAATGTGCTGATAGGCCCTTAGGATATCCTTTTCCCATCTCTGACATTATTTAAATGTGCAACCCCTTACAGGAGGTAAATTGACCAACAGAATATATTGGTTTCCTTGATCTAGGCAGCTGTGTGAATCATGGGAAGACACTCTGGGCAAGTCTTAAAATGATAAAATTTCTTCCAAGTAGGTTTCAATTGACTGTTGACTGATTTTTGACAGGTAGTAAAACCAATGGGGCTGAGTGTTCACCTTTAGAACAGGAAATGTGTTTTTGTGTCTATGCTCCTTTACATTGTTCTATATGTCATATTAGGTTGGTGAAAAGCACTGTCCAAAACAACTTCTCATAGCACATCAGTTGAAGGGAACAAAAGGTTCCTTTAGAGTGCCCATAGCACCCCTTGATTCCTAAAGATCTTTTACTGACATCTCTTTTCTGGCATTCACTCTTCTCATTCTCAAGTGCTC